AGCATTTCTATTAATCCATTTTAATTAGGATTATGGAACACAATCGCTTCCATATGTTTGTGCCGGGGCACCGGATCTTTGGGGTGAACCCGCCTTTGCCGTAATGTGTTTTGGGGTTTGAAAGCCACTGGGACATCATGTTTAGAAAATAAACGTCTCAGTTAACAATAGGTGTTAATTAGATGTCAACGATAGCCATGTGATGTGAGTATCAGTCACATGGAAGCAGTGCTTAAAAGCCTGAATTTTGCCTGAAACTCTCAGACTGAAGAAGTCTCTTGGAGAAGAGACGAAACGTTTCATTAGAGAAGAACCCGTCCAGAAGACCTATACAATTTTTTTCTTTTTGGTTTTTTACCTGGATTACTGAGATGCTTCAGGACTTCATGTTTTAGTAATGCTAAACTAAAAGTCAGTATGGCATGTCATTATTTGTGCTGAAGAAAATAWTTTTTTTTCTCAGTTTGTAAGGGGTCTCCTTACTGGGTTCTGTTTGGTACTGGGACATTGGCGAGAGATCTTTTGGGCTGTGCAGATGTGTCGACACAGAACAAACTTTATAATATGCATAGTTTGTATGATTAAATGACAAACTTGTGAACTTTTGCAGGCAGGTTCAGCACTAATGTTCCCATGAAGCGATGCACATGGGTCAGAACAATACCTCCTAAACAATTCAGCTTCTGAATGGTTTGAAAAGGGTACACATCTCTCTTATTAGCAGCCGCTGATTAAGTTGTTAATTTTCATCCTTAAAGTTTTAGATTTTTTTWAATTGTTTATATTAATTACTCAACCTTTAAGTGTATTCTTACAACCGTTTGAATTTTACAAGCTTATTATGCCCTGGTGCTAACTTTAATTAGCTGCATATAGAACGCTAAAGCTGATAACCTTGGCGGTGAAAGTTGTGACTTCAGCTGGCAGTCACAGCAGTGGTTGGCTGAAAATGAGACTCCTGCTTTTGTCTACCCCTGTGTGAAATCGAGGGCCCGCTGGTTTGAAAATGACGGCAAGTTTTAATGGTGCATCTGCCACCATTATCGGTGACAAGCGCTCCACGCGCCGTGCCGGAGCAGACATCTGCATAAACGATGAGGGCAGAAACAAAAATAGGTGTCTGCRTTTGAAGGTAATTTGTTGGTTCATCAGTTTTTCAGTAAACTGTAACTAGAGATTTTTTTGTCAGACAGATCCAGTGTTAACCTTAATCTCTCATAGCTGACCAGCTTGTCTCGAGTCAGATAGATAACTCCACTTTTAATTCTCTGGGAAATTCTTGATGATCGTTTGACATTTTTGTTCTGATCAGAAGGAGCCAAGTTACAGAGAACCAAAACATTTTTATAATTTTGTGAAATCCCATTTAATCACTTTACCTTTGGTCTGAGAAACATGACCCTTTAAACATCATAGCAGACAGGAATATTAAGAGCTACCATAAACTGAAATAATCAGACCTCATGCTTCTGACTGGTCCAGGAGGTCTCAGCATGAGAGTAAGATCAGTGTTGTATAAAGTAACTTGAAAGTGATACTTGAGTAAAAGTACAAGTATCTTATCATGAAATTACTTTGGTAAAAAGTTAAAGTCTCCTCTAAGAATATTACTTG